CCAGGCACCACCTACCGGGTTGTACTGGACCGTACAGCTTTCTTGGCGGAACCGCACTGACTTCCATCGAGTGGCAACACGCGCCGCCGTTCTGTGACCACTCTACCACCAGAACAGCGGGTGGCACCCCTCCCACGTCTCTCTCGCTCTGCATTAGTGACGTCAGCACACGTGCCGGCGCTCTTCCTGAGCCGGGAGCTGATCCGGAGCCGACTGTGTCGCAGTGAGGCGCCAGCAATGCAGCGCATTTAAAGAGCAATTACACGGCCTAATTAAGGCCTCCGGCGCACGGCATGGTGGAGCGTGACGACGATTCGGACGGGTCACGGGAAAGGGACTGTGGTGTTGTGCTGTCAGAGCAGGGCTTGCCGTGCTGTGGTGCTCGCCATTCACAACGAAAAAGACTGCATTAGCTTTGGCGCTGACCGCACGTTGCCACTAACGAATAATCCATCCCATGCCCTATTGACATACTTTATTGACCATGTACCACATATTATACCAACTACCATACTATATTGCATGCTTTATAAACCTGCTTGATTGATAGTGGTGTGATATATTCAAATGTCGACCTTGTCAGCCCGCCCTGGTCATTGACTGCCAGTCTGGCCAGTGCCACTGATGTCGGGGTCCATTGACCTGTGTGTGGCGGCCACTCCAGGCACGCAGTGGTGGCCGGACTCACTTTGAAGACTGACGTCTTTGAAGGTCGCGCCTTCCGAGGACCGCCTTACGGTGGGCGAGGATCGTTCAGCCGACTGTATTTTGACCGCTAAATGGTGTTCCGAGGCACGGCCAAAACTAACGTGCACACACACGCTCGCCACCCGTTAAGCGACGGCAAACAGAGTGCTCTTTGGTCGACCACACCATAAGGGAGTGTGTCGCCAAACTGTTTGCAAGTGATATTAGATATCTGAGGCCTGATGGCCCAAACAATGACCAAACACTTGCACTACTTTGGTCAAGCTAACAATTTGCAGACGGCGCGTAATGCATCAACATATGAGTGTCATAATGGTATAACAAGGCAAATGCTTGAATCGATCTGGCCAGTCCCCTTATGAGCTGCAAAACTAATGTGCATTACATGTGTGCACACAGACATAACCCCGCCATATGAACAAGCTGTATGATAATTTTATGCCCTCTGAAGGCATCTTTACGGCCAATGATAATTTGCAGAGCCCCTTAATGAAAGCCATTTACTGGATATTAAACAAACTGACCAGTCGGACACATCATTGTCTAGAGACGGGAATGCGAGGGCAGAGGCGGATCCAGCTCAGAGTTTTTTTTGGGGGGGGGGGGCAAACCATAACAATTTATCGATTCTTTCCATGCATCGTCCATAGGCGTATATAATGTTAAAGTTATGCCGTTGGGGGGGGGGGCAAATGCCCATTTTGCCCCCTCCCTGGATCCGCCACTGTGCGAGGGTCTTTCACCTCAACAAAGTGTGATAAGGTCGCTGGGCGATAATTGAGCGAACGTGAACGTTGCCAGTGACCCTGGTAATGCCGCTAGCGACACACGTCCGAATAACAAACCATGCGATGCTATTTACTGCAATGTTGTGTGCATAATAATCGTACAGCAGACTGTCCCAAATCCAGTGCATGCCGTATATTTCCTTATCTTTTTTCTTAAATTGTAGTCATCTAGGCATCATCTTCTTATCAAATATCAACACTCCCTCTCCAAGTGATGCCATTTCCAGTCATCTCTTGAAGCATGGCTCGTGTCTCGAGCTGCCGGCCCCCAGTTATGCATATATTACTGGTACGGAATATAGGGCCTGTCTTCAGACTATATATTCCATGTTACTGGTCACTAACGCTGTATAAATTTAGCCACCTTTTCAAAGGTAGCGTGGTACCTGGAACTCCTCTGTCTGCAGTGGCAGTTGCCATCAGTCTAGACAGCCACTACCTGCGGCCGTCTGTGTGATCTCAAACAGTACCGGAATCGGTGGGCGGAAGACTGCAACGATCCCCAGTCGGACCCCGGGGACACTTCCGTCAATGGGAGGAGGACGGAAAGGGCGCACTCGGCCGGTAAACCGAATGACGTCCTTCGCTGGCTCCCTCCAATGGGTCTCCTCCTGAGCTGTTGATGACAAACATTGGACACCACGAATCGATCTGAGTTGACTCTTACTCCATCAACGACTTGATGCAAGGCTTTTGCATGAAAATGTCAGTGCGGTAGTTGTCATGTCCTCGCATTCATTTTTTTCCATTTGGAATGCACAGCGTGGGGATCAAATTTCTTCTCTAGCTCTAGGTCCGAGAAAAAGCTCAAACGTGCTTATAATCTGCAGGAGATGATAAGGTGCATTAAGGCTGTACAAGGCCGCTGTATGTGAAGGCAGTCCCGGTAGTGCTGAGACAATATGCAGTGAGTCGCTGTAAACTACCGGGAACTGATTAAGTCACTCTTGTCGCTGGGGCTGTGAGAGCTCTCTGAAAAGTAGAGAATGCTGTTCTGCACCGAAAGGGCTGCTCTATGCCGCGGACATGGCTACTTATCGCCTGTATTGCTGAGAGCCGAGGAAGCTGCTGGAAGCTGAGAATGCCAAGAAGACTGCTCTCTTTTTCCCTCCCACGTCTCTGCTCTGAGAAGGCTGCTCTCTGCCGAAAGTCTCTGCTCTGAGAAGACTGCTCTCTGCTCCCTGCTGAAAGTCTCTGCTCTGAGAGGGCTGCTCTGCGCCACCGGGGAGCCCGCTCTCTGCCGCTCCACCGACGCCGCCTAATTGGATTGGTCTCAGACGGCTGAGTGTTGACACGTGGCGTCTCTAGCGGCTCCGGGGGCGGAGCGGGATGGGCCGGGAGCTCCGGACGCCACAGAGGCTGTCTTGGAGTTCCGGGGGCGGCGCTGGATGGGCCGGGAGCTCCAGACGCCACGGAGGCTGTGTGGGAGCTCTGGACGCCACGGAGGCTGTCCTGGAGCTAGCTCCGGGGGCGGAGCGGGGTGAGCCGGGAGCTCCAGACGCCACGGAGGCTGTCCTGGAGCTCTGGACGCCATGGAGGCTGTCCTGTAGCTCCGGGGGCGGAGCGGGGTGGGCCGGGAGCTCTGCACGCCACGGAGGCTGTTCTTGAGCTCCGGTTGGCGGGTGTTCGAGACGCTCCGGGACATCGGCAGCTCCGGAGGGCAACTCTGGCTCTTGCCGTTGACGCCGTAGATGGCAGTACGTTTGTTTACTTTATGGCACCACGAATAATGGACGCATGTAATCCGCATGTCCATAACACGTAAACAATTACGTGTAAGCACTTTAATATGACCTCTAAATGGACCATATTTGAGCTGGTATGCTGGCATTGCATTTACGGTTCTCCGACGTTGTTTGGGCGCCGCGGTGCTTTAGTCTCTGCGGTTCGCGGCCATTTGCGGCTGCCCGCCATTTCAGAGAAAGGACGAACAAATGCATAATCGATGAAAGTGGACCGCTGCCACGCGGCGCACACTTTACCACCCCATAAACCGGGGGCGTAACAAGTGAGCTCGTGTGACCAATCTACATTAGCGGTGACACGGCCACGTTTGGGGGCCGGCCGATGCATTTGACATTGGCTCCACATATTGGTAGCACAGTGCACACGATTTACTGATCAACAGTGGCAGTGGGCGGCATCCGACTCTGCTGAAAAATCTGTAAAACTGAGGAAAATTAAGCATTTATTCTTACAGCTGTTCATTGAGGCAAAATCGAGGGCTTGCGACGCTGTCATGTGAGGGAAAGTTATTAAAAGAGGTCTCAACCATTCGACTGCTGCATGGCGCTATTGGTTATATCATCTGAAAAAATGTGAATGCTAGACAAAAATTTAGGCAACATTACGTTGCAGGCTACTCTACATGATCGTTGTGAGTTGTGCATTGGTAAAATATGATATAACCTCTTTTTGTGTAGTTAATAGCGCACTAAGACCAATAAAGTTTTTTATTAACCCCATACAAAGGATCAATTATGAGGTGCGCTGCCGGTTCGCCCCGCGCCTAAGCCGCCGCCCCGCGCGGGCCGCCACTGACTGCGGTGCTGTTGATTTCAGGTCCAGCCGTTGACGTGGGCATAACAATGCACGTTGTCAGTATTTCGTCACTGTCTGAAGTCAAAATGGTACTGCTCGTTTCTCTTTTTATCAGTAGCTGATATGCGGCCCGGCGCCCCACGCCAGATGACGGCTCATTGTCATACCGCTTATTTTTCTTCTGAACAGTGCACAAAAATGTGGTGGGTGTCATCAGGAGGTGCTTATGAAGACCGCAATGCAAGCATGCCCCCAAAAAGATTGGAAGAAAACCATCTCCAAAACAAGGCAGGGGTCTGGGTCATCTCAGGACTCAGACCTTCATCTTCTCCAGCCCGGCCCTTTACCATTGCCCATATGAGGGACAGATACTGGGTCTGAAGACTTCTTCAGGGACTTGTCCTGTCTAAAAGCACTCCATTCTAAAAGGCTGTTGTTTGGCCCAATAAAGATATTTTGTAAGCTCGGGAAGAACCAGTTACGCTCACCGGTCGCCAAGTACTCTTCCTTATTTTCTACGATTTTTCTATAGGAGTCCATCTAAATTGTTTGAAATAAATTCAATCTTCCCATTTGACCAGGTCCAAGAACCGTCTGGCGTTTGGAACCCTTTTGGGAGGTGGGTCAGGTACTCCACCCGACTCAGGACTGTCCCGTAGCCCGTCCTGGCCTGGGGCGCCGCGCGTCGCTGTAGATACCACGAGGCGAGTCCGGGGCTCGCTCCGGGTAGAGGCGAGGCCTACTCAGAGACCGGCGGTCAGTGGCGGTCGGCCGCCACTCCGCGCAATGGCAGTCGGCCGCGCTCCGCTGCCCGCCGACCTTTTAACGTTTGCTGGAGCCGGTTCAGAGCGGCCATCACTCTCCCTGGGTCCGAGTTGGCCTCGCCTCTCGCCTCCAGTGCTCTGCCGTGTGTGTGTCTGACATTGCGCCATGTTCTGTACACTCTCTGGTGCCCTCTTTCAGGCGAGCCGGTGGAAGTCGGTATCACGCTACACATAACCTCGTTCGGCTCCGTGTCGGAAGTGAACATGGTATACACTGCAGATGGGGTCTCTGTGCTCTCTGTGCGACCACGCGCGCCGCGCCGGCGCGTGCCGCTTTGGCTTGGGCCTGGGCGCCGCCCGCGCTGCACGTCGGCCGCCCCCGCCCCCGCCCCGCCCCCGCCCCCGCCCCCGCCCGCAGACTCGGGTTTGGCTCGGCGTGGTGCCGGTGCCGCTGCCGGCCTGGGTCGCCCCGGGTCCCCGCTAGGACGGACCTTCTCCCACGGCTGCGGCCAGCACGCTCCGGCTCTCTGTTAAATATTCAGCTCCGCTAGCGAACCGGCGAACGTGGTATCTTCCCCGCTGCCGAGATGTAGCACTTCAAGCTAAACCGACGGCCTTTCAGCCGCTCAGCCACTTCTCAGTGAAAACGCTCACCAGTTTCATCCAATATTTAATGGTAATGCCGAGTGACATTTGGAAACTATTTGAATTTTCGAGCAAATTGATTTAGGTAGTTCGTAAAAAGTCACGGTTGAAAGAGAGAAAAACTAGAGGTGTCTATGTTGAAATACATTAACTTATAATTTCATTCGCAGCTAGGTACCTACAGACGAAGGCAATTTCTTCTTTAGAGATTCCTAGGAATAAATTTATCTAATGTTCACTACTAAAATGTAAAATATATTGTTGCTGAATAAATAACTTTGTTTAAACAAGGCAAGGTAATTTCGGAGTACATTAGGACATAGACCTCAGTCAGTACACGGGTAACAGAAGTCCATACATAGGCGTGTTCCTGGGTCGTAGCTAAACTCAATGGCACTCAGCATTGTTCTGTTGAACCGTCCTCCACGCACGGAACTCGCATTTAAGAGCCCGTCGCACTCCGGTATTGGTATAAGTTCCGTTAGATAATAAGGTTTCTTTAAGCCTGATACAGATGGCAGGAGCTCCGTTATAGGCCAGTGCCAATGTTAGGCCCGTCCCACCGCGAACAGACATCGTTCACCGACGCCCTGCTATCAGACATCGGCGACAGCTGTTCTATGGGCGGGAGATCGCGCGTGGCCGGGTCCCGGGCGGCCACAGCCTCTGTCATCTGTCGTTGGTCCTCAGTCTATCTCTCTACTCCTGTATCTGTCCTCTTCTCTCCTCTTTCTGTCTTGTTTCTGTCTGTTTTTCTATGTCTATCTCCCGTACTGCGGCCGACGCGCGCTCCCGCGACACACGCCTCCCACTGGACAAAGATGGCGCTTCGTAGTCGGTCTCTCGCTGTGGCCAGGCCTCGGAGAAGACGCGAGGCCGCCAGCCGTCTCCTGAGAGCCGGCCACCCCACCCGCCCGGTCCCTGGCCGTCATTCAGAGCCACCCAGACGCAGCGCCCGCCCGTCCAGCCGCCACCAGAGCACGCCGCCACTTTACTAAGGTCGACCGTCAGTCACAGCCCCGGCCTGCGCCCGGCTTTGGCCGGGCTAAATCAGAAAAATGGCGCCCGTTCTTCAGCAAAGTTTAAACAAACGCTTGCGATATGCGATTTTATTATTGTTGTTCCAGGAACGTAGCTTAAGTGCTGAAGCAGCCAAAGTGCTTTCAGTGAATGAAAACACGACCCTATTTCTAACAATGGCATGTCGCAAAGCATCAATGGCTGTCTTTGAAGTACGTTTCGAACAAAGCCCTCGGCCAGGGTCACGTATTCGGCTGTCGGCTTGCTCTCAGCGGCGGGTGGACGTGGCCAGGCGCCGTCCCGTCATCGCTTTGTTGTCAAGTGTTTGATGAAACTGGCGCGACTAGCATAACCTTCAGTGCGCCTTTATGTGCTCCTCGATGTAACTGCATTCCGTTGGCGGCCCACTCTGAGTGCAAACCACACCAGCCGCCGCGACTCGGCTGGCCGCGTTGTGCTATGCTTGTCGCGCCTGTTTGGCATGTGTGCCGCTGCCGTTCGCCGTGCCGTGCGTCCAAGTGTTGTGCTCGACTAACGTCATCTGCGGCCGGGACTTTGGTTTGCCGGTCGCTCACATACCGTACTGGTGCTCTGGGTGCCCGCTGGCGCCCCCCGAGCCGTCAGGCCGCACAGCGTTGACGGCAAACAGCGACAGTTGTTTCATTGTTTGCTCACGGGTACCAGTTAGTGTTTATGCGGGCCAACTGCCAGCGGCCACTCAGAGCGACCGTAATCCACGATAAATCTAAGTGACGAGTTTAGTCCCGCCGGGTCATGTCGGATCGGTCTGGTAGCTCAGGGTCGGCTCCCCCCCTTGAGAGTTCCTAACATTCCTATAGTCCAGTAGGGGCAGTCTGTCACACGGTACAAGCAAAACTCAGGCCAGTGCCAGACCAGAAGGCCAGCCTAAGTCAATCTAAGAGTTTAGAGACCCACCGAAGTCAAACCGTACGAACCAGACCGAACTAGACTTAACCAGACTGCACTGGACCAAACGATGCATTATTGCCGTGCCGCGATGCATCCCTGCATTCCACTAACAGAATACCACTACCGCAGGACTTCACCATCGACTTTTTCTTCCGACAATTCTGGCGCGATCCGCGCATGGCCTACGACGGCGACCTGGGCATTGAAACGCTCACCATCGGCACGGAGTTTATCAAGAACATCTGGGTGCCGGACACGTACTTTCCTAATGAGAAGACTAGCTACTACCACGAGGCTACCGCGTCCAACGAGTTCCTGCGCATCCGACCGACTGGAGACATCCTCCGTAGCATACGGTAAGATATCCAGCACGAATTATGAACGATCTTGGCTTTTACTTGGTTGTCGTGCAACTGTCTTTTCATTTGCGCAGTGTCTATTCAATGCTCGTATGTGTATTTATGTAGGCGTGTGAGCTACTGAGTACGAATCTAAGCGGGGCTGCCAGGCCAGGTCAAATTTGTGGAAAAGCATTTGTTGCGAAAGCTTGTGGGTAGTAAATGCACCATAAGCAATCTTGCGATTTCATTTACATATCTACAGGGTGCGTCATAAGTTCTGGTACACTTTTTCTTTTATTAATAAAAAGAGTTACAACAGGTTTACAGAGTTGAGTATTTCAGTAGAGGATCTCTATGAAGTTAAGTCAAAACACGTGTAATATCATGAAAAAAATATTTACTAGCTGAGCCTTAATGAAACAAATGGTAACTGACCGTCCGACAGCTAAGTGCACACCATGGCGCCTTTCTCCCCAACAAAGGAAGTTCGCGGGGCCATCGTCTGCATGAAGATGGCGGATATCTCGGTAGCAAAGATATGTCGCGCGCTTCGCTGCACGCGGAATCTTGTGTATCGGACGTGGACCCGGTACCAGGAGACCCAGAGTACCGGAGACCGATTCCGTTCCGGCCGCCCCTGGTCCGGAGGAGCTTGAGAGCGCTTTCCTTCCGTATGTGGCGCTGTGCAGCGTTGAGGGAGTGAACGTGCTTCTTGCGGAGGCTTTTCACGCGGATATCCTTAGAAATGAGTCTGCGCATGGAACGCTCGGACACATTAAGGTCCCGGGCCATTTGGCGCATGGGACACTCGGGGTTGCGGACAATCCGGCTGCGAACCGCGGCTTTCAGCTGAGGCGTGCGGGCGAACCGGGGGAGGCCGGAACAGAATCGGTCTCCGGTACTCTGGGTCTCCTGGTACCGGGTCCACATCCGATACACACGATTCCGCGTGCAGCGAAGCGTGCGACATATCTTTGCTACCGAGATATCCGCCATCTTCATGCAGACGATGGCCCCGCCAACTTTCTTTGTTAGGGAGAAAGGCGGCATGGTGTGCACTTAGCTGTCGGGCGGTCAGTTACCATTTGTTCAATTAAGGCTCATCTAGTTAATATTTTTTCATGATATCACACGTGCTTTGACTTAACTTCATAAAGATCCTCTACTGAAATACTCAACTCTGTAAACCTGTTGTAACTCTTTTTATTACTAAAAGAAAAAGTGTACCAGAACTTATGACGCACCCTGTATAAGATATGAAATGAAAATTCAGAATGAATGACCAGTTTCCTGGTGTAGAAGTTCTAATGTCTCCAATAAGAAGTTTGGACATTTGCTCTACAGTTCGGCAGTCAATAGTGGCCATTAAGATTTGTCCGATGTCAGGACTGATTGGTGGCTTTTTGTCCGACAAGACGAGAATGGAGCGCGGCACGCGTCTCAGTGATTAGTTGGAAACTCCTTCGAGGCTCCAAGTTAGTGTAATCTTGGTAGATCCAATTTGAAGAGTTCTGGATCGGTCGCCGGCGCAGCGGCGCCCCAGCTGACTGGAAGTGTGATGGATCTATATTACGGCCGTGTCGGGACGACGCTGGCAGATAGAACGCTTTGTCGTCAAGTGCCCAGGGAGCTGTGCGAAATTAAGAACTTTGGAGGGGGCGGGTGAATTGCGAGGATCGTTCGAACAGAATACAAGCGTGCTGAGGCTTACCTGGTTGTCCTAACGTGGCAGTTTTAAGAGTTCATTCATCTTTATCAAATAAAAGACTTTTGTTGCATAACACTACACCTACAGTTTCATTCATTCGAAGTCCTCTGCTGAATTTAAGTCAATCCCTTCAATCTTCAGGACTACTCAACCCGATTTAGAGATCAGATAGCCTTCGGAAAGCTGAGTGGATTTCAGTCAGCCCTCAGATCAGCCATCCACTTGACTCTCTCAGCTGATATTTTTAGTTGTTAGTCCTGCTTAGTGCTTAGTAAAATAAGATAGGTTTTGTCATTTACAGTAAAGCATTGACGTACAATAAAGCATTGGAACTGTTAAATAGCCGGACCACTGAACCATATTTTCTAACAGGGTTTTTAGAAAAACGTTCCATGCATTTATTTTACATGATCTGCGTCGCTGCCCAGCAGGCAGCAGACGCTGTTTCCAATCCCAAGAGCCGCAGGCGCCCGGCGATGCTGTGCCGCAATGCTCGTGCTCGGCGGCACAGCCTATCATGTCAGGCGCGTGGTTGTGCTGCCATCTGTGGACGTTAATCGGAACCTGTGAGCGTGCCGCGGTTCAGTTATATTGTGCGTCGCGCCAGTTAAATTCCGCGTCGCGGTGACCGAGGTAATGATCGAGCTAGTCACGCAACAGGCCGTGCGTCGGTCAGCGGAGCGGGGAGTCCTGACCCGCCGCCCAACCACCCCACCGCCGCGCCACCAGCCCGGCGGTCACCGGAGCGGCAAGGACAGAACCGTCCCACCGCCCCACCGCCCCACCGCCCCACCGCTCCGCCGCCAGCTGCCGGCGCAGTAAGCCAGTCGTGACCTTCATGATAGAAGACCCAGTTTTCGACGTAGCACCGCCTTTGAGGAGGCTTTAATGGGGCAGCATCTGCTGGCTGCCGGCGGCGCGGTATCCATTTTCATTCGGGCGCGGTGGTCGGCTATTTTGTCGGCCAGCGGGCCGGTGTTGGCGGACGGTGCCCGATGAAGACAGAGCTGGCTGCTGGTGACGTCAGTTTGATGGCGGCTCGGTGACGGTCTTCTGATAGCGGCCCGGCACGGTGCGGGCCGCCGGGACCCGGCGGATTACCGCGCTCCGGCGGCGCCGCTCGGACGGCCCCGGCCTGTCAGAAATGGGCTGCAGACCGCAGACCGGCGGAAACTGCTCCGGTCCGCTGCCCGGCGCGCTGTGGCTGTGCTGGAGAGAGCGAGTCGCCAGATGAGACCCAAGAGATGGTAGAGTTCTAGATTAGAACCTAGGTGACGCTTGTTGGAATGGAAGTACGTAGCAATGCAACAAATGGCTATTTCAAGTGGTCAAGTGTGGAATAAAACGCAGGGAGGGTCAACAATTTCATTTTTAAATATCAGTTTACCGACCTCCCAACAATCATTTCTCTGGATTATCAGTGCTGCATCACGGACTTTCAATGACACCTAATAGTGAGAAAAGAAGACGTTGTGTTATGCTGGGGTGACAAAAATGCAGATTAATGTGTTCAATTTTCTGAGCCTGTTATTATATCTATCCCAGATAGCGCATGTCCTATGTTTTCGTTATCAGTCTACTGACATGGGGGTCGCCTCTCCGTTCCCGTCTTTTTCCTGCCATCTGTCCAGCGGGTTCCCAGGCCGTCGTACCAGTCACTAGCCCACTCCCCCCCCCTATACCCCCGGTGCGTATGATAACGATCTGCCGCCTTACCCGACCCGCCGGGCCGCCGGCCGCGCTGGCCACAGCTTCCATCTACACAAAGGCGGCGGCCGGGCGCAGCGCTGCAGAGCAATGTCTGCCGGACTGGGCCCCGAATTACATGGTCGGTCTGATGTGAGCCGACCGCCGCGCTATATGAGACGGAACTGATTCGGTCGTCAGTGCCGAGTCGAATAAATATGTCATCACGGCTGGTATTCATGCTCGAAACAGCGCCATCAAAGGCAGGTTATGGACGAGATGTTATGTAAAGTGGCTGTATATCGAATTTATATTTTGCTTAATCTAGCATAGGTTTAAGTTATTTGTGAATGTTAAGTAATAGAAAGGCGTGTGTGCAGCCTAGTTAGGTAATTTGTGGCCCAGATAGCACCGTAGATCATGACTAACTTCATTCTTATTTAATATCGGAGTATGCTAGTCATGCCACTCTTATGGTTCTATGGACCGTGCACACTTAGCGGCATCTTTCCAGGGCGCCGTCTCCATTATGCGTTATAATGTGATGGCGCAGTGCCCAGGCCGACACGGTCTGGCGCGGCGCCGGCCTCTGCGTGCTGCCATACTTAATGCAGGTGTTTTCCGCCATCTCTGCTGAATGATGTACGTGAATCAGGCAATCACTCAGCCGGGACAGACACTCGGCCATGCGCGCCGTGTGATTAATTTATCCCGACGGCGGCCGGCCGGCGGCCACAAGCGGCCCGGCCGCGGCTCCGGACCGGCGCCGCACTAACGCGCCGCCAATTTATGACTGGCAAACACGCCGTGCTGAGTGTCATCAGCGTCACTCGCGGCGGCAGACGAGCCCCCGGTGCCGCACAGCTGAATCAGGCCTGATGTATGGATGTCAGGGCTATTCACACTGGCACGGTTATTATTAACGTGCGATGTGCGCTGTATCACTAGATATAAATGTGAGTTACTGCCCGCGACATAGGCTGGCATGTAGGTATACAGGTTAAATAAATGCATATCTTTTTAAAGAAAGTGTCCAATGGAAGAAATGAAAGGTGTGTTATTCGCCTTACAGTTTTAGCTACGAGAGCCTCAGTAATGCACTCCTGCGCAATTTTTAGATTCAGTTGAGAACAATAACGGCTCTTGTATAACCTCATCAGCCATTCACGTAGAAGGCAAACAGTGATGCATGTTTATTTGTTATTGATGTTGAGGAGGCTCATGATAGATATCGCAACATTTATTGTTATTTTCTAATTACTTAAATAAAATGCATATTGATGCAATCATGACGTAGTGACGTGGTGACACTCGCCCGAAAATCACATGTCAGCGTTGAGGCGGAAAGGCAAACTTCAAACGATAACACCGAACACGTTTAACTATGGATACTCTCAACTGCAAATCATTAGCTTCACTGAGAAAACAGTGTCCCGATTTTCGGGCTCAGAGACCAGTTTTCGGGCTAATGTACCATATTCAAAACAGACAGCACATTTCGAGAATACTTTCTGAGCTAGCGCCACATGGGCTCATACGATCCCTTAAATCGGTATCATTGATCGCAGAAACAGAGCTCAGTCAGTACCCATTATCGGTGTCAAGCTCTAAAACTAGTCTC